TATAAATAACTTAAATCTTAACTATCTAATACTATCGGTACTAACATCCCTCGGCGGATGACTTCTTTCTTGAGCCTAAACCTATAAAAAACTAAGTTCCCTCGTCGGTTGTCTTCATTCTTCAGCTTAGAACTAATATTATCTTAATATTCTAATTAATACGAATTAATGCTATTAATACAAAATGACTTAAACTGAACGCAACGTAGTCGCTAATACTCAAACGAAAGAGATAGACGGAATGGAAAAAGTTCCATCGATCATTTCGTTTACGCGCCTAATATTCTATATACCAAGCAGTTATTAAGTCTACGATGAACTACGCGTTAAACTACAGTATGAACAAGTATCGCGATGCAAGAAAATTACATTGCATGTTAGGTCTATTCTTATATCTCGTCTGTGCCATAACGTAGTTGTCGGTAAAATCATAGGCTTTTTAAAGTGCCGGAAAATAGTTTCATAGGGCCACGAAGTCCCGTAAGATGTCAGGGAATGACAGATTTATTCACCAAGCATGCAATGCATATGCGTGTATATATGTGTATGCAAGCTCGTTGCGGGCTTTTACTAATTGGGTGTATGTAGTAACTTGGGCGTCTCGTCGTAAATATAATGTATTATTACATGTATAGAATAATACCAATTTTTCGGTGATAATATGCACATTAATTCAAAGCACCATTGGATTTTTTGCTATGAGCGGAATATTATGCGCATATGTCATATGTGTATGGTACGTATTTTGACCGCCGGTGTAGAGACATAGTCAGTCAAGACGACTGCAGGTGTCAGTGCAAAAGCAAATGGTGAAAGGTATCTGACAACGTTGAGTTGTTTTAGCATTACATAATTACCGATTTCAGAGATTTCATTCTACAATTTTTCTATCCAAGTAAACCACATCGGTCAGTAGCCAACAGAAATTCATATTCGATAGTCTTCCGGTAATCGTGCTATCAATTTCACATTGCTTTCGTGTGGAAATCGATAAGTGCGGGTCGAACGTCGAACCTACGCGCAGGTTTGCCTGTCGTGTGTTATTTCTTCCACTGACGATCTTCGGCGTCAAGATGTCTACGTCTGTGACAGCCAAACTTCAAGATGACATGAACAGCATACCGTTGGCGGATGATGATCCTCAAGGTACGGCAATTTTTATCTCCATTACTGGCCTAATTTCACTCAATTTCATTATCACCGTTTTTCGATTATAACCTAGTGTACTTCAGTCCTAATTGCAATGAAATATTTAAATATTTTTCGAGTGTATCGATAAAACCGTTCTTAAGACTATAGAATGTACATCCAAATTCAAATTTATTAGATCTGATGCTTTATATTGAAGTAATTACACAATGATACAGTGTTTTTAAACGTTTTCTATTATCTTTTTAAATGTTTTCTATTATCTTTAAAGTGTTATCATTTAATTTTATTCTTCTTTAAAACGTATAACGTTTATAAATATTTTTATGTACAGTAATTATTCCTGAAGAAGAAATTTTGGATAACAGCTGTCATCTATCCGATGCATTAGGCAGAGGACGCAGTATGGATTCCATTCCATCAACTTTCACAAATGGTAGCTGTAGTCCCAATAGTAAGTTTTAGACTGTTAGAATTCCTTTTTACAAATGGGTATTTAAATATAGATATGTAATAATTTTATCATAGGCTTAGATCCTGATATCAGCCCAGATGAACAAGAAGAGAAAGCTAGATTGATTGCCCAAGTACTCGAGCTTCAAAATACTTTAGATGGTAATAAATATACTCCTAAACTATGTGATACTTACAATTATCATCCAATGACCATAATCTGTATTTCTTTGTTCTTTTCTTTGTGCAGACTTGTCTCAAAGAGTAGACAGCGTGAAGGAAGAAAACCTAAAGCTAAGAAGTGAAAATCAAGTACTCAGCCAATATATTGAAAACTTGATGTCTGCATCCAGTGTTTTTCAGTCCACCAGCCCCAATACCAAAAAAAAGTGAATCCGTGTTTTTAAACTAGAGAAAAATTTTGAAGAAGCAGGGATCTGAAAATAATGTGATTTTTAACCCTTCGTAAAAAGTATGTAAGTACAATTATATTATAACACTTTTTTTTTTAATACAAGTAAAAGAGGACAAAATTATTGTAGATATAAGAATTTTAATACATTGTGCTCGTTCTGGTAATTCGTATCCTTTACCAGTGCTCACATACTTTTTACGAAAGTTACATCTATGAGCGAAAATTTGCTTTTTTTTATATTAGAACTATTCATATTCTCGTCACGTTCACCTAAGAATTCGTGTTTCGATCTGTATATTTATTTCCTTTATTAGTCACATCATACGCTTTTTGCTTCAAAGGCAACGCGCTTGTAATTATTCAATTAATATTACCAAAGAATTCCTTTTTGCATTTATACACTCCAGTTTTTTTACTTACAAGAGTATAAGAGTTTCAATTATTATGGACAGCCTTTATTAAACCGTTATAAAAGGAAGGGAGATTCAGTTCTTTTAATACTGAGGTTACACATTGGTCAATTAGTTGAGTTGGGGGTGGCTGGATCTACCTTGACTTACAGTCTTAAGAACTTTACATCTAACTTGTCAGCACATGATGAATCGTGTAAATCAACAATGAAAGTTCATTTTTAAACTGAGATATACCTTAGACAAGAAAATGTATAGGGATCAAAACGAATCCAGGCATCGCTGTGTTTGCGGTCACCCAGGATATAGACCTTCCAATGGTTAACAGATTTCTGCACATAATTTACGCGTTTTTCGCCTCAACATCGAAAGAATTAATCACAGAAATCCAGCAGTACTTATAAGACTTGAAAACGAACACTGTGTTAGAATTTCGTCGAAGATAAATTTTATTTACAATACGTGAAATTACATTCGTTGAAATTGGTTGCTGTCAGCGTATTTGATACTTACGAAATAAGATGCGAGGGTAATAAGATAAGTGTTCGTAGTTACCGTATTTAATCAAACACTGGCGTTTTTTCATTGAAGCTTTCGCTTAAGAGTTTCGATATACCTGTATGCAATGTATGTAGGTGTACAAAAGAGATAAGAAATAGTTATATATATATACAATTACATATAAATATATTATATTATATATGACTATGATATGACAAAGTATAAATTGGCGTTCGTACGAATGCTGCGAGCGAATTGTAAAAATTCAGAGTAACGATCGGAGCAGGTCGACACACTTCGCTTGCAGCATGCTCGATCGACGACTAATATGGTTAAAAAGAGAAAAAAGATGAATGTACTGCAATTTGAAAACTGCGACTTGCGATGAAGTTTCAGTTGAAGGGCACAAGCAGAATGCACAATCCCAAACTATTCCGTTGTTGAGTAACACAGTGTTATAATAAACATTATATTCTATTGGAAACGTAACGAAGTTGTTTATTTATCGTAAAAAGTACCATAAAAAGTCGATATCTAAATCATCCGCATTATTTCGAATTTGACTTTCGTTGTCGCTAACAGAAGGATCGACGTGATTTCGCTCATAAAATTTTCGATGAATTATTCTAGACGATAATGGTCCACAACAGACCTGTCTGGTCAATAATAAAAATTCGAATTCTTTTCTTTTGCGAACTAATAAAATTATTAATTTACAATACAAGGTATAAAATAATATTTGTGAAAGTTAGTCTTGACGTACAGCCAGAAATTGTATCGCCTTTTGGCCCCAACGTGTTTTCACACCCGGCTTTGCTCTTCCATTTTTCTTTATCCCTATCCACCATCCATGATTGGCGTATTTTCGCGAACGAAAGGCGTCGTATGAACCAACGTTCCATTGTTCCCACTCGGTATTATCCTTATTCATGTTTGGCTGTGAAAAATAGGATAAATACAGATACATATGTGTTTGTCGATGATTCTAATATTTTAATTTCTAATTTGTTAATGGAAATAGATCAATTATTTCTTTAGTATCTTGACATTTTTTGAACTAGTTAATCAGAGAACACGAGTTTTCATTTATATTCAACTACTATTCTTCAGATTTTTCTAATTTTTCATCTTATTAACGTATCCGCCAAAAGATTCTTGCATTAAATTGTATTGCATTACTTGTTCTAATATAATTAACACTATATTCGCGTTTATTACAGAATTTCTATGTACGTTTATTATACTAACATTTTATAATTGTTCCTTGCATATTTATCTCCTCACAAATTTTCCCTAAATTATCGATTACACTGACATTCAAATAAGCTAACAGGTTTTTTCAAATTAACATTCACGATCTTACCTCTCCGTACAAACGACCCTTTTTGTTGAAAGCCAAGTAAAGACCAGTTTCGATGTTCTGTATTCGAATCACGCCGAACGATACCGGTATAATGTGAAACAGGGCTATAAATTGACAACAGAACATGAGAAAAAAAATGACAACAAACCTTTTACACTATACGATCAACCGTTTTGTATTATTGTTAATTATTAATAATCATTATAATTACCATGCGGTTCGTTGGTACCACTCAAACCCCGAACTCGGCCTGAGTCTGAAATAGCAAGATGGTAACCAGTTCGACAAAATAATTTTATTACCAGACAGTTGTAAACTGGATTTTCCGCCGGTTTCCTCGGGTCCCATATTATGCATGGCGCAGATTTCACTGATCCAGACGTGACAAAACGCGGAGTTCTGGAAGAATGGTAGAGAGTTTCAAGGTTTGGACGTAAATACAACGATCCACGAATAAACTGATCGTCGAATCGAGTCTTCTCGGTCGTCGATTTGGAAGATTACTAATAATACTCATATGTTAAAAGAATATTACTAATACTAATCTGTGGATCATTGTAAATTTCACACCCTTCAGTTATTTTTAAATGATTCATTTTTCGGGGAAAATTTTTTGTAACGAATATTAATTTATAAAGAGGTGTCTGGCATGGATGAAATGATTTTGTTTGAAGCATGTCCTACAGAAATAATTTTCACTGTTCTTTTTGGAGAGCTTGTATTTTTTCGGTCTACTTTATTTCACTACTTCAATCATACATATTCTATTTTTAGAAAGTTTTAATTCTCGTGCAATTTTTCCAGTAGTCTTTATAAGGAAGCATGATTATTGTAGAATAGAAATTTTAATGAATTGAACAGTTCTTACACTAATTTTGAATAGAAATAAATTTAAAACATTGTATATTACTGTGCTTTGAGAACTTCCAAACTAGATGTTTTTAATAAATATTTCGAAGCTGAAAGCTTTCATATAATATACGATTATATTTCATGCCTTTACCATATTGAACACAGAAGTTGCCAGGCACAGAGTTTTGCATTCTTCTTTGTTTTTATATTTTCAACGGTAGCGCATTGTTTATAATCGATGAAACAAATATGACCCAGATAGGGATTCGACATTAATGGGTAAACCTAATGTGAGCTGACACACGGTGGTGGTGTTCTATTTATAACATATCATTACGTTTGGAAAAATGGGCCGATCGAGTTTTCAGGTCAGCACGCTTCGTGAATGAAGCGTAGCTCGTTGCACCGTAGCAGTTTTCCAACCCCGTTAATTTTAAACAGACGCTCGAGGGGAAGAAAGGCAATGACGATAGACTTCAGCGAAGAAGCGGAATGTCAACTGATAATAATCAAGCTAATGGTACCGATAACGAGACAGAAATACATTAATGTTTCTCGTATACGTGTATGGAAATGCGTAAACAATGGGTATCTTCGATAAGAAATAAAATACTAACATTACTCACTGTATTCTACATCAGCAAATTGAAGTGAACTTCAGTACAACTTCGCATATATGAATAAAAATAGTAATTTGTATGAAGATAAAATTGCTCTCCTATTAATTTGAGAAAATATATCGTTATAAAAGTGGAAAAATTTAAATCTACGTAACATCTTTACTTTGGCTATAAAATTATATTCAATTACATCATAATACTGTGATTGAGAAAGGTAAATGTTAAAAATTACAGTAATCGAAAAAATGATTTAAACGAATTCGTAAATAATGTTTTCAATTTTATAAGGTTTAACACATTTGGCGTGAACTTCGTTTTCATGCAATAAATTTTGGAAACAATTATATTCCCTTGTATCACTTTGAATAGAAAGGTTTGCAGGTATAGTTTTCGTTATAACGAAATAAGGTTGATGTGTTAATAATGCGTCATTGCGTATCGTCCCAAATATTTAAAGATGACGGTGTGAAGACGAGACATAATTTCCACTCGTTTAAAATGCAACATCTGTAGAATTACGTCTTGACATTGCGTAAAAGACGCCTCCGTTAATTACACGTAGTACGTGACACGATCTATTTGTTGAAACCCGAGGACGGTCATATACGTCGATTCTAATTTTCCGTTACGAGTCGTGCGTGCGGTTTAATGCAATTCGCGCGGAATTGCAGTTCTGGCGGTTACCACGGCTCTCGAATGTCAAGTAATAACGTAACCAGAACGGTACCTACTGCACCTAGTGACCCTGCAACAATATAGTGCTGAAAGTTAATCGAGTCAAGTGATCAATCAGTGCAGATCGCACTGCGTATCGAAGGGTAACTACGCGTTCGTCGTCAATGTCGCGATCGAGATACATGATCGTCCAATTGTAGCCTTAGCTATACACAACTTACCATTCACACGATAATAATTGGTCAAGCCTTGAGAGTAAAAGCATAAAAATTTGTCGTCTTTAATTATAAAACTAAAAAATTTTTAACTCACTCCACTATCATTCTCAGCCCGTCAAACAATGAAGAATACCATTATTAATAAAAAAAAATGAAATCGTAATCTTATTTCTTATTGAAAAATTTCGTCCACGCGAACTTTGTAGCGATGATAGGTGACAGTAGATATCGGTTCATCGTCATTTACAGTACTATAAGGATTACGAGGAAAAATGAAGATAAGTCTTGGGCTTCCCGAAGTGACCCATGGACGATACATCACGGCAAAACGTCGACAACTCACATTATCCTCTCAGTTTCAAGATATTTTCTTACTGAGAGAAGAAATTGCTATAGTACTTCATCCTACATATTCCCTAGATATTGCTGTCTGTGATATTTCCCTGTTCCCCAGAAGCAAAATGAAGCTTAAAGGGAGAAGATTGGATGACGTTGACACAATTAAAGCGAATGTGGCACAGCCGCTTCACGGAATCTCATCGGAAAACTTTCAACTACGTTTCTAGAACTGGTAGAAATGTTGGAACGAGCATATATTATCAGTAGGGGACTACTTTGAAGACTACGGAGTTAGTGTTGAGTTCAAATTGAAATTTGGAGAAGAATTTACACTTAGATCATAGTAATGTAGTGAAATAGTAAATTCAGTGGGGTCATAAGCGTCTTTTACGGAATTGAATCAACTGAGGTCCTCGGGTCCAGAAACGTCTACAGCATTTCAAATATTTTTGGAGCTAATGTAAAGGGGAAATTAATTTAGAAGGGGATATTTTTCGCAGATCTGGGGCAAGGTCTAGGTTAAGTACCATTTGCCTATTGTTATGACACCCTTTGTTGCTGGACCCAAATCTCTGTTTGTGACACCGGTGATATTACTATAATACCTCACTATTTTGTTACTATCGATTATACTGTTTATGAAAGTAATACCTTTTGATTAACACATGAACATTCTGCTATTATCTTGCGATAGATAGATTTTCGGTACTCCATTCTTTATTCGGAACTTTTATGAACCTCATTGATACATTTTAGCGTTATAATAAGCACCTTCCACAGTTTACTGGTAGTACTAACTACTATGGTCATAGATCCATTATCGGCTGTGTGGAAGTAACTTAATTAACTCCAACCCCCAACCAAAATTTGTGTATTACCTGATAATAATTACGATGCTCTTGTGTTTTTTATGAACTACAGTGTTTATACTGCTTTTTTGTTATACCTTTTTGTAAAAATGGGATTTCCCTCGTAAATGAATAAAATTTACGTGAACATCTAAAAGTAGATATTATTTTCGAATTATAGTGTGCGTTCAATTATTTCCCATCTAACAATCTAGAAAGTGAAGTACTTAAACGATTGATAAATTGAAACTGTACGACAGCACAAATTAGAAAATTCATCCGGTTAATTGACAAATGAACCTGTTATAGTTCCTTGGTTACCACATTATCATATCCCCTATTGTACGTTCCACATTGACACTGTTAAAAATAAATTAATTGTGTCATAAGATTTATCACAAACATCTTAGATCGGAAAGGATCGTGAAAGTGGCAGCAAATTTAAAACTGTTAACTTTGCAGCGCACTGGACGGAGAGTTAATCGATTCACGTGATTAATGAAGGCTCGTTGTAGTGCACGTTACAGAGAAATTAGGTCCGCGGACATGGCGGCACAATGCGCTCGCAGGGCGCTTACTGTAAAATATATATTACCCTTTCGTCAATGTCAGAAACTCATGTATCATTGCGATTATTAACGCCGATAATGGAACGAATTCCTTTCACTTGCAAATCGTTCAATTTCGACACTGCAGAAGGTTGCGAATTATTTGTGAAAACTCAGCAGACAGCCATTGTTCGTTGAACATACACCAGCGACCATATGTTGAAGACTAGGGACCGTAATTTGTACTACACATATTTTATATAAATATTAGTTTATCATGACACACCTCATAAATATGTAAAGAAATAATTAATTAGTTACTATAAAATAAATAAGTTGATAACTTGTTTCTGTGTTCCTTTGGGTGTTTAATCTTTGTTCACTGCTGTATGTTAATATATTATTGCAAGGTATGAACTATTATTATGTTAGGTTTATGCACATCGAATATGATAATAAATAAGAGACGATGGTGATATTTATTTAATCCCTTATTAATAGACTGCAAACTTTATGTATCTATGGCACGTGTAAGTGTAAAAAGGAGAAACAAAATAGGAACATTTATGAAATTTAATAACATTTCTATGTTTCTTTTAGTGTACTATAACTCTGAATGCAGAATGTGAATTTCCATCTAATTTCCTGTCGCCTAATTTCTAAACACATAAATCTGCATAATTAGTCACAATCTAATAATTACTTAATCAAATTTCAGTGACTTAAGATACGCAGAATATTTTGCATTTAGATACACGTTTGTTTATGAGATCTGATAAATGATTCAGAAGTGATCAAACTAAAGGTCTGTTATTGTTTTCAAGTATATTTTTCTAATTTAGACATTCTGTTTTTATCAAACATTTATTTACAACCTCCTGTATATTTAACCCCTATTGAGTGAAACTTGATGGGAGAAACATTTTAACTATTCACTCGACTTCAATCAGCACATAAGATGCCGCCCCATCGAGAATTTGATAAACAAGGTCGAACTCACTTTAATTACCGACAGAATTTTAATTGGATATTCTACTGATAGATTGATCGAACTATCAGTCAAAACTTCTTGAGCCGGGCCTAACTTGATCAATACTTAAACAGGATTACAGAGAATCGGTATTGTCGATAGTTTCTAATTACTGGCAAATAGGTACCCATTCTCGTCGAACTTGACTGTAGTAGGCGGACGACGCTTCGTTTCCCTTTTCCCTCTGCGATCCCCATTGATCTCTTTTTCGTTCTTCGTCCCTTTCTCCTCGCCGATCGATAGATCGGAATCATAGCTGTCGTCGCTGCAACTGTCGTCGATGTCGCTGCATTCTTCGTCACATGTTGGTGCCTCCAAGTTCTCGTGAATCCAGCGAAGACTCATCCTCTTACGATAAATCTTCCTTGATCTCTAAATCAGAAAGCAATTATACATTTGAAGAGTGTTTACCAAGGTCTCTCTGTTAAATCCATATTCACGATAGATTCAATTTTTATGACAAGATTTGAGAGAAATATATTTCATGTTTCCATTATTTATAGTGGTTTAATTTACTCTTTCCATAATGTTTGTTCTATTGTGATATTTACTCTTGGAACAAGTGGATCATTAAGATTAGTCTCTAAAAGTAACGGAGAATGATACTTCTGAAAATTAGCGGTAGATTCGGTCTGTTGAAATAGAAGATTGTTTCGAAGAACTGGTGTAAACCATCCGTGGGGATCTATATTGCTATGAAAATATAATTAAGGATAATATTACTTCGAGTGATTATATTATTATAATAATACTATTTGACTGACACAAAACTTTTTTCTCATAAAAGTGTCGTAAACCGCGTTTCTTTCTGTCAGATAAAAAACAGAATGAGCACAAGGGACTAACGGTGGATTCGGTCTGTTAATGTTCAATTACATGATCGAGGAAACAATGATACAGCTGTACGTATCACTCTGTACAACATACATATGTGAATTCAGAATTTAATTATCGATTACTGTCTCATAAAAATGTAGAGGCTATTTAAGTACTTGAGGTGATATTAATATAGACCAAAGAAAGACTAAATTAGAATTTCTATTTACCTTTAATAGCATTTACTTTGCTGTTCTTAAATTAACGGGCTATCAATTCATTTATTTTCAGTAAATTTAGGCTCGAGTCTGTTCGCTGCCTGTCGTACAATCGAGTAACAGTATTTGCAACGCACTATCTTTAAATCTGATTGTGAAACATTGTTTTTTAATGCCTTTTCATTAACTTATTAGTTTAAAGTAACCCGACAACTAAGAACTTTCGTAATTTAAATGATGAACAATATTCAGTCTTCTTTAATGTTACTATATTTACAAATTCCTATAATTGTAATCAGATTTGCACTTTACTTTCAAATTTACGGTAGAAAGTCAGACTTTACTGTTTTCTAGTGGCAAGTAAGTTTCAGTGGTCAGCATTTTACGATACGGTTTCTCTAATTATCTACTCAGAAAACAATTTCAGCACTGCAATAGAACGCACAGAATTCTACGAGACTTGATGAAAATTCACTTTTGAAAAAGAACATCTTTCTATTTCAATGTTCTTAACTCTTATGGCCCTTAACTATGTACATCTCGCTTAAGCACTTTTCACACGTAATTAAATATCAATCGAAATTTTAGCCCTTAATCTTTAATAGAATGAACCTGAAGTTTCATTTTTCCAACACTGACTTTCATTTTCAAAGTACGTAATAAACATTTTCACGTATCTACAGATGCTTCTAAACCGGCCATTTTACTTAAGAACATGCTCATATTTGATTAAACATTAATAATGACCTCAAAATGTTCTGCTGTATAACACTAAAATATTAATTCCTGTTAATTCGTATTAACTTAAAGTTTAGTTCATCCAACAATCACTTTCAATTTCAAAGTTCCAAAATTCCCGTTAACAAGTACCAGGTCCCCTCAAAGTCTGTGTTGACTAGCAATTCTCCTCATTTAATCAAACATATATTTCCAGATTCCTTATTGCTGTTTCACTACCGACAAAAAGTTACAATTTTTTCGATATGTTTTATTTTTATTATTTTTTACCGTCAACTTAGAACTTTAGCATGAGTTTCATGTACATAAATTATATACATATACTATATTTTTAATTATAATACTTTATAATATTAAACAAATTATGAGTCTAAATTCCTCTACTATTCACTTTCAATTTGAAAGTTCCAAAACTCCCATCAATAAACCCGAGTAAGCTACAATGTCCCCTCAAAGTCCATCGTAAAAGTTCTTCATCCACCATAAAAAAATTCTCCATTTAATCAAACATTAATTACAAAACTCATCACTATTAACCCAGTAATCACCGAAAGAAAAAACTCTCTGCTCACACTCGTAGGCACTCGCTGAACACTAAACAAATACGACTCCGTGGTCTCATAGGGTACAACTCACCGAGAGAAACTGGTACCGAGTTTTCACCGAGTTTTCGGTTCCGCGTTTCAGGCCGGCGCGGCGGTGTCACGGATGAGCACAATTCCGTCGAAAAAAAAAACAAAAAAAAGGAAAAAAACACGACAGTAGCCGAACACGACAACTACCAGGGGGGAAGTGTTTCGCAACACTTCCGCGAGCACGGTTCTATCGAGCAGAGGTCGTGGTTCCACGTTTTACGGGGTCCACGAGCACATTGTTCCCGCCGCGGTACGATTCACCGGCGTCGATGGATGTGCAGGAGACGCACACCTCTCTGCCCTACCTAGGCGCTCCACGTTTATCACACGACTGAGCCCCTGCCTCCTCCGTCGAGCCAGCCCCGTTGGATAATACTGGATATGACGCCGGTCTATTGGTAGACGGCGTAGGCAGCAGTGGTCAGCAGCAATCCGTCGTAGACTAAATTAAAAATGGGTTACACGAATGCGAGAGACGGGAAGGGAACGGAGAAAGAAAAGATCTTTTGTGTCACGTGTGAAAATTTGCGCGAGCCTCCCTCGTCTATCGATGACACTTCAGCGAACGGTGACGCTTCGCGCGGTTCGTTTGCTCGTTTCTGTTCAGCTTTTTCCCGGGTCTTCACTCGTGTTCGGCAGAATGGAGGAGCATTTTTTTTCTTTCTTTTATTCAGGGGGGAGACTTAACGAACTGCAGTCGGAACATTGTTTCTGGGACGAATGTGTAAATTGGGGTCGACTGTTAATTACTCCGTGCGATTTTCAGTTTGCTGAATGCAAAATACGGGGAAATTTGTTAGGTACACACGCGAGAACTTTCTATCGTTGACCCGTTTTTCGGGGAACGCTGATCGCGCTGGGATTGTTCTGGTACCCGTTAGCTTCTTTTGGACTGCGATTATATTCACGATTTTATAGATTGTACGGTGTTACTCGAGTGTTTTGGATCGTAGGTAATAATGTTAACACAGCGATTATAGTCTCTTTAGATGGTCTACAGTAGGAAAATTATTTTTATCTGAAAAAGGAAGATACTGTGGCAACGGTAAGCTACGAGGATTTTAGTGCCATTTTTGTAGGTCTAGAATCATTTTGTAACTTGTTTCTTGGAGAAATAGGGTCTTGTAGAAAACTATTTATTTCCAGAAAAATAATAATATTGTAAGTGGAACATAATTCGTAACACACATTGTGATAAACGCGACACAATTTTGAATATAAGGTTTTGTTTCTTCAGGCGGGAACTGTGTCACGAAGTAGAATAAGGCCATTTATGTCAGCCAATACTGACAGTTTCAGAAGAGGGCACTAGCGACTGAAATTGATATAAAGAAACCCTATTACATTAAAACAATTACTGCACAACTTTTAATTAATATTAAACTATAAACCTTCATCAAGTAAAAGAATATGTTGGAATATAATATTTTTCATTACATAATGCTACTGTAATTTTTTGTAATTATTATTTATTTATTTCTAAGATTATTATACATGTTATTTCTTTTTCGATAAATCCTGTTTTTAGATCTTCAAATCTAAAGGTGATCACAATGATTTTATTCTTCTGGTGTTCGAAGTGTTATTAGTAAACATATGTTAGAAACCAGCAGTACCAAATTATTATTGATCTATTTTAGACATGTTATTTCTTTTTCAATAAATCCTCTTTTTAGATCTTCAGATCTAAAGGTGATCACAATGATTTTATTCTTCTGGTGTTTGAAGTGTTATTAGTAAACATATATTAAAAACTAGCAGTACCAAATTATTATTGATCTATTTCAGACTATCCTATTGATTATTTACTCGCGATATAGATATTCTTCCCACAACGCCATTATAAACACATGAAACAATGAATCGACTCCCACGAGTTCAAAAGCATCATAAAGATGTAACGGTAGCAAAAAGGAAATCACGATGGTAATTAATATACACGAGCGTATTTTTATAATTTTCCACGTCGAATTCTGCAAAAACTACATCTAAGAAACAATTAATTGAATATTAATGAATATACAATATGCAAAGGCGATACCTATTAAGACGTACGTATGAATATTATGCCTAGTCAACGCGTTACCTTTACAACGTAATCAAGTCTGGTATCCAGGGCCTCGTTAACCGCTGTGGGACATGCGGTTCCTTGACAAGGAACAACTGTTGTGGTTACCACACATAGAGCGCGTTAAATAACCACTAGCTTTCGCTCGAAAACTTCTAACTGGATTATAGATGACCCAAGTTCAGCCATAGTGTCCTTATTGGTTAAAAGTAGTGGAATTCATTCCGTGTCGTACTTCCGCCTTCTTTTTTTTATTAATAACGAATAAAAGTATATGAAAGGAGTATAACATGTTTAATTAAAGTGTGTTGTAATATATTAGGATGTAGAATATACATATAACACAATGTAGGATAATACATATAGCCCAATGTAGAATTTATAACAAATTGAATGGTTCTGTTAACTGAATTTTATTACGATTTCAGTAATTGTGAAACCAGAAATATGAATCTGTTATTAAAGAATCCATAATTTTCTTTCATTTCACATTTCACTTTGAAAATTTCGTGTATATTGCGTATCTCAAAATGCGGGCAAAATAAGCATGAGATAATTTGGTACGATAGGTTATACTACTCGAAGAGTGGACTTCCAGCTGATACACGGTATCGATCGATGACCGAGTGAAATTAATAAATGAAATTAAATGAAATGAATGAACTCAACTCGTGAAACAGTTGAAGGATGTGTCTCGCAAGTAGAATAACCCGTCACGTCAGACGCATTTTACGCGTATTTTTAATCATTAACTCGGAAACGAAGCCTCAAACGCCATTTCATCATTCTTGTTTTTTCTCTGAGTTTGCTATATAGAATCCACCCTGTGAACATGTCCTATATTTTTATTAACACCCTGTAATATATGCTTCCCCTACAATACAAAGAATTAATAAGAATTTGTTCTTTTCACAAAATTAATTCGTTCTTATTATACATTTACTCGTATAAATGTCCAATGACTAATGGGGCGTGAATAAGATTTTTTCATAAAACTTATTAGAGAATTTTCATAAAACTCTATTAGAGAATTTTCATAAAACTCTATTAGAGAATTTTCATAAAACTCTATTAGAGAATTTTCATAAAACTCTATTTAAATAATTCTGTATTATACAGTATTCGTATTCGCTTAGGAATCATTCCAATAGGCACAACGCTTTCACTTATAAACGGCGTTAACAGGCTGCTCAAGAGGCTTGCTAATTAATCGTTAAATGAGTCTGTGAGCAACTTGATTCTCGGGGGGTTGAGGCGTTCCGACGTTCTATCGAAAAAATAAGTTCGTTTCTCGCCGCTCGATCACGCCACACCGTGAGGGCATACCGACGCAGGTGCGCGACTATTAATAGAGAGTACCCGAATTAACGATGTCGATAAAGCGATTCGACAGGTCGTGTAATTTCGTGGCACGCGAGATTCCTGGAAACCGTTTCCGTTTCGCTCCCACAATCATTCGATCGCCAACGAAATCGAAATTTCCGCACCGAATTCATCACAATTGAAACGATTATTTAAAAGTCTGCTATCCAATGTTGTTTTTTTAATCCACTTCCTGGCAAAAGTTTGGGATCACTCTATCAGATTATACAAATGGAGATTTTCCAGTTAAACGTGTAAAATAATTAAGTAATTTTAAATAATTGTATTCAATTACAGAAGTTCAGAATTGAAAGTTTCACTGATTGTGTCTAGAAATAGTAAATATTATATTTATAATGCCATGTGATTTTGTTGAAAACCTACAGGCGAAATAAAATTTTTAACCGATACTGTATGTTATTTATTTGATACAATCGCAAGAAAGAGTTATTGTAAAATGTAATTTTAAATAATTAAGGTAAGAATAAATAATAGAGATTATCTGTTTAAAAGATAGAGTGGATGTAGGTCTATTTTTTCCACTAACCGGAAAGGGGATTAACCTTTATTTGGCAGAAGTTATAATAAATGGAAAACGAAAAAACAACGTAACAGTTTTTGTATACGTGTATTGTAACGAATCGATTTTCTCTTTAATGGGTTAACAGTTTTATGCTTGAAAACGACCTAAGCGATTTCAAATGTTACGCTCTAGTTCAGAGTTCGTGTTGTGTTCAACGAACTGGAAACAGACGTGTGTAACGGTCTCGAGAGAATACGGAACATCCCTTTACATGTTAGCGGGAAATATGATTGAATGTAGATTAGCGTATCAGGAAAATATATTTTAATTGTATGGTGTACAATGTAACCAGTTAATTATCAGAATTTACCTTTTGTGGTTGGGAATATTTAATATTTTTTTAATTCTGCAGGTAAACAATAATCAATGGGATACATAGACTAGCAGAAATTAAAATCAGTGGTTACAAGTCTTCTATTCCCTAGGATTTGAAATGTATGGTTTTGAATTATAATTTTTTGAAAGTGAAGACGGGAAGTTTCATCAGTTAATTATATCACACATATAATAGAAATTATATTTAAAATTGCTGTCATTCTACAATCAATTACTTGTGTTATTTTGTTTATTTTTTATGATATCGAAAACAATATAGGGTTCCATATAAAAAAAAATACCGATGACCGTGAAATCTCGTAAAAAATTATCTCGAGACAAGATTCATGCTACCGTTACACGTGCCCCTTGAAATAGAGCAACTTTGTCCTGAGAAATTTTTCTACACAATAATAAATGGAGCAGATATTCAGGTGATCTCATTTAGCTGGTTGGCCTTCTATATGTATGGAGGGTTCAGAAGCCAATTACTGTAAGTCAGTCTTCCATTAAAAATGACTTATGTCGTACAAATACACTTTTATTATTTATTTTATACGTAACCAGTCTCATATGTCTGTATCCTACAGATATAAGTCCTTTTTTATTTGTTAATAGCAGTTATTACTTTTTTACAATCCATTTTTTAACAATTATCTCTGTTAACTTGCTTTGTGACTTACACTAGTTTTATTTACAAGTTATTTTACATTACAAGTTTTATTACATTGTTTAATTTACAAGTTACACTAATAAAGAATACAATTAAAAATTGAAGTCTGAATTTGGGCCAAATTGATCCAAACATTGCACGTGGATTAAACTGTGTTATCGAAGGATTACATTCAAGTCAAACATGGAGTCATTTATCACAACAGTCAGAACAGTGTATTCAACAAATTCTTGTAACCCAGTCCGCCGTTGTAATACGACTCGAGACACGCTGTCTGATCCATGAGGATCGCGGAAACTGGTCGCAGCGAATCTCGCAGCCTCGCGTTACAACCCCGTGTGTGCGCGCGCGCGCGCACGATCGCTCGCGTTCTCCATAGGCTCGAGCGACGCTTACCTATTAATAGAGGGACACTGCTCGAATTACTGAAACTGATAAAGCGAGTCGAGAGGTGGCCGGTAATTTAATTCCGCGTGACGGACCGCGACGCAGTACTGGCTACCGATTCCGTTGTCCTCCCTTCGACACCGGTTTTTCACGATTACGCAACGCGGCCTAGAATTAATTGTTTTCAAGGAAGTAGGGTGCGCCGGAACGGATACCCCGGCTCCCGTGTCCACGTGCATTACGCTTTATTTGTTTACATTATCCTGGCTAGGAGTTTAACGATGCCTCGGATTCTTAATTGCTTTCTGAAATTATTAACAATTATTTCGTGTGTAATTTATAGACCACGAATGTTTATGAAAATGTAGAACTTTGTAGGCTAATTTATAAACTCTAGGTTCGAACAGAAATTTCTTTGCTTGTTTTATTATTGTAGTAGGGTTTATATGAAAGATAAACTGTATTAAACTTTATCAAACTTTAGACTATACTGATTTCTAGTCAATCGTGTACATTATAAATGCATAAAATACGCTGTCTATGAATTAGTGTTGTAGTTTTATTTTTCTTTGTCGGGGGGTAAGTCAATTTTCAAATGGTAAAAAGTTGCAATTGTTCAGTATTAATTAAGATTTTTGTTGAAATAACGGCCTTTACTATTGCATACAGTAACTTTATTAAAATGATGGACTAGAGCATTGTTTTTAGATTCTGTGTGACGTGCAGATTTTCATCTGTGCTTTAGTAAACTAACTTACAAAAACGGGAGTTTAATAGAAATTTGTTTAGTTTATTTAAAATTTCAATATTAAATTTCACGAATTTATGAATTTCAACATTTTTTATTTTACGTATTCACTTTTGTATATTTTTGTAACGAAGAAGGAAAGGGCCGGACTTTGCGGAGGGTGAACACGTGTCCTGCACGTGAGCGACCGATTTAGGGGTTTGGCCGGAGGCTGCCTTCGCGATCTTAATGTTTCACAAAAATTGAAAAAGAAAATCCGAATTTGAGAAACGATAGTAGTAGATAACATAAGCAATTCTTTTGATGAAAGGTTTGAATTAGTAATTGATATTGAATTGTAAATGATTATTTTTAATTTTGTTATTTTCTGTGCAAATAATTATTCGAATGAAATACATGACACATATTTTACACATGAGATTATTTGTTTATCTTGTCGATAAGGCGAGAAGTGAGACCGGTACTGAAGAAGAATAATATACTTTTAGTGTATTTACTTTCAATATAACGTTAGACGTCCGGAGAAATACATTCCCGCAAATTTGGTTGATAACTGTTTCATTTAAAAATACAATGGCCGATAACTACAAGATTTCGTGAGACACAAGCGGGTCCTACAAAATACAGGACGATGATAACACAAACACAGACCACAAGAGACTGACTGCTTGTCGTCAGGTAAAAATGGTTGAACCGATTTTATGACCTTTTCTAAAATAGAAGGACGTGTTAACCATTTTGTCTTGTATACATATATCGCGTACTCCATGTTTCCAAACTTTAGTTGGGGATGTAGTGGGGTTATGGCCGTTAGTTACAGTTTCAATAGTAAAATCTGGGATGAAAATAATTTGTAACCGAGGGTTACACCGAAATTAATATCGTTAATTATACTTTTGCAAAATAAAGCGATACTAGAAACACAAAAAAAAGCAATTACATTATATTTCATCTGATCCGTCTAAAGCACAGTATGAAAATTTCACATCTTGTATCTTAAAAGTTACTCCTCTACTCTCAAAGAACCACAAGTTTTAGCTTCCTACTTTTAGACATCAGACTCACCTTGGTCACCGATGTTGCTAAAAATATCTTATCGGTCCCCGTAATCTCCCCCACAAAAAGCAGTACCATAGAATTCCTGTATATTTTAATTTTATTCCGTTTACATCACCATGTAATCAGTTCGTAGATCACGGCTGCGTCTCTAGGGAAAAAGAGATATTTATATTAGAGGAAGTCGAAGCAAGTAAACATCATGGTCGCTATAATAAACATTTATTCTCGATAATATAAAATTACATGTTGTGATAACACGAGACCGTATCATACAATATTTCACAATAGGTAAGTAACATCGACGCGATGACGAACGCGCGACGATTATCATCGATCGCGGATAAGAAACACATTCTGACATCGTCGAGTCGCGAGACATCGATCATTCGAGCGAAGAAACAAAAGAAGAAATCGCATCTTGGTGTATATCTACAGTTCGAGCACTGTACTTCGCGCTAACAGTCAACTAGAAACCTAAATGACCTTCGTAGAGAAACAAAGGATCGTTCGATCAGATTCATTAGGGGGGGTTTACTAATTGCCAAGCGTTCATAGTGAAGCTTCGAGAGGAAGGAGACAGTGTAGCAAGACGAAAAATAAAACGGGATGGGGATAGGAAGAGAAGGGTTTTGTAATTCTAGCCGTCACGCATCAGGCATCTCTCATAAATACCACGGAATAACTATGATACAAAAATATACAGTTGAACTCTTGCCGATATTACTCTAAAACGTTTGCAACGGCCAGGCCACTGGCTGCCTTGTGATTCGTCGATTCGTTAATTTCCCTATCTTTACGCTAATTACATAAATACACGTTTATTTACACGTTCACGGTACGTCCTACGGGTTAGTCGATGAAAACAAATCGGTGTTACATTTGAAATCTCGGATGCTCCACACGTTCCGAATTACGGCGCGCGGATTGGAACGGCCAATGGAAACGGGGACACATTGTCACTGTTCCTTATGTTCGTTCTGTCCGACAGAGTTTATGTACAAAAAGAAACGAATTTCTCGGTGTCTGCGATCGCGCGTTACCGGCGGCTAAAATGGTCAACTATAACTTATAAAATATAGCCCGAAGACGCTATATTCAAGTTAGTCAGCGTGGTCCCATTAGCCGCTGCTCCCTGGTCTCACACGCAACTGAACTTGACACCTGGAACAAATAGACAATACATACATTTAAAACGGTAACTAAACTTTAATTGTTAGAATAGCCTTTTCAAAGAATTTATAAAAATACATGTATTCTTTAAGTAGTTAAGTGAGAAAAATTTGTTACGTGTATCTGTATAAAAGAGTCTGGGTGACACATTGAAAAGATTACTTTCTGTGTCCCCAGCTGCGAGCATTTAATGAGATTCCATCGTGTTCAGAATGTTGACCCGAACAATATTAATTTTAACTGTTTGTAGTTTATTTTCTTATAAATTTTTAAGGCTTTATGTGTACAATGTTGTTGATTTATTTCTTAGAGGGAAGTTCAGGTTACTTTACTTTTTTTTAAATAAACTTCTTACGTGTTTCGACAAATAAAAACAGCTTTGCCGAAGGCTATTCGTATTTATCTGATTTTTATGTTGGATAAATAGTATAAGCGACATGTTAGTACCGTCGTCACTGGAGTAGCAGTTATGGCAGTGGAGCTTGTGATTTCGAACGCGCACGTCTGTTCCCATTAATCCGTCACCGAGCCGCACGTGACACACGCAACATTTGAAACACTCCATGTGGTAAAACAACCGCAAGCTCTCGATGATCATTGCGGCGCCCCGACCTGATACATACAAACAAAAACAATAGAAAATGTATTAACAGATGGTCAATTTTTTCAGAGGAATTTGACAGTCCACTAGACTAACTAGTCTATAACGCACGAATAATAATGAATTTTAGTGAAAATGAAATCCGTTCAACCGATAATCTGAGAAACAAAGTGTGATTTTTTCCCGAATTTAATATTTGTATTTAAGAATATCAAAACCACAATGACTTGATAGTATTCGTCACTTTTCAAAATTATACGCCATTTTGATTAAGTATAGGAGAGGAAAGATGTATTTGTCCATTTTAGTAAAAAAGAAGTAGTGTATTATTTGTTGATATACCTACAGAATAATTAATCCATATTTTCATACCTAATTCATCCCCACAATGCGAGCACTTCTTCTTCCCACTGACGCTCAACATTTTTTCTTGGTTATCGGGATTTATTGGCGATGGTTGCAGAGGTTTCTGTTGCTGCAGAACATGCTGCGATGATTGGTGTTGCGGCGATTGGTGCTGTGGCGATTGGTGCTGCGGCGACTGGTGTTGTGGCGATTGATGTTGCAAAGCCGAAAGATGCTCGTGACTGGTGCTGTGTTCCAATCTAGAAGCAAAATAACCAAAAATAATTTATGAATATTTGAAAAATCGTTTTCGTAAAACGTCAAGTTAAAACACATTGTTTAAATAAATTAAGCAACATTTATGGCTTTTTCTAAATATAGACAAGCACAATTTTATGCGAATAAGAAATGTTATTGTTTTGATTTAAATTTTACTAGGTCAAATAATTATTTGGATATGTGTACCTTGAAAGGGTTACTTTATTCTATAATTAAATCTCTCGTGTTTAATAGACGATTCATGGATAAAACGTTTTTTCTCAAATTCTTAGCTTATATAATAAGTGTGTTCATAACAGTTGACAAAAATTACTAGATTATTAATTAAAACTTTATTATTTACCGTCTTCTTGGTGGAAGAGGCTTTTCTTGCGCTCTGTTCTGAACTCTCTGTGTAAGAGTCTGTATAATGGAGTCCGGTAATGGTTTACTATCGGTTCTCGTTGGAGCCATAGCGTAAGGAACGGACGTTCCTGTTACGTGCATCTGAGATTTCCGCGCCGGTGATCGCTGATTTTTCTCGTTAATCCTCCTCTGTTCCGCTTCCTATAACACGACATCGTGAGCTCTTTAATATACTTTATTATCTTTATTATTGGATTGTAACATGTAAAGTTTTCGTTCTGTTGTTCTGTCACGATATCACTATAGATAAATAAAACTGCCATTTTTTTCGTGAAATAGGACGGAACTTGGTATACTGTCATATTTACTAGATCAAACCTTAAATAAGTACCACTCTTCCTACAGAGTTGTGGCACAAAAATATTTATACAACCTGGTAACTTTACCTTCTTTAGAAGTTCTTAAACAAATTATGGAATTGAGATCCACATAATCCATACAGAAATTGAAATGATTAGCTTTTAAATTGTTGATAAAAATATTTTAAAGGTTTGATCTCAAGCAATCAGTGTATTTATTAGAGAACTGTACATGGACTTCAAGAAGGATATTAAACATTTCCGATAGGGTTCGATTCGCTCGAAAATTACCTATCACAAAAGTACTAATTTTAAATCGAAGAGTCGAAATAAAAGATTTAGTTCTCTATAAACTAACAAAATAAAAAGCTTCTCTACATTGAAACTACACTGTCCAAAGGAATTAGATGATAATGCCTAGAAATTTCGTTATGGAATCAAAACTAAATGTTAATATTGGATGTAAAAGATGTCGTCAATATATCAGAACCATGAGCATTTGTTTTAATTGTTCTGAGCAATGCATTATTTCGTCATGTCTTGCACTTCAGCAGATGCACCAAGTGATCAACTACTCACTACGAAGTTTCCATAAATCATTCATGCCCCTCACATTCGAGAAATCATAAGACTCACCTGGATGAGCCAATGTTGGTAGTTCAAGTCGTGAGCGCCTCGTGGCACGTCGCTCTTCCTTCGTTGGACCCACTGGTCACTTTGAACGATTCGTGGCCGAGGAACCGCGCTTAGTGCCTGCAACGTCTGTCTGCTCATCTGCTGGCCCGCGTGGCTTGAAAGTGTCGTGACCGATGCGGTGTGACGCAGAGAAGCGTCCACTTGTTGTGGAATCGAATCCGCAGACGGAATTCTGCTGTTCCTGTACATTTTCACCAATTCCATTAATCATCATTAATCTCAAACTTTCTTGATGTTACCAGCCAATCATTAACATTTTGTCAACAGAAGGATAGTTAAAGTATAATTCTTTTTCCTATTTTAATTGTGGATATTTAAGAAAACAATAGCTTGAAAATTGAAGTATTCGAACAAAAATACGATTAAAATGATCGTATCGCGACTGAAGACCAGAACAATCGAAGTCATACGTTGTTCGGGTAGAAAATGTTACATCAGGCGCAAATAATAGTGTCCTGTTACGGTTTGACGAAGAGCATCGGGTTTATCTTCCCCGTAAAACAAAGAACATGAATAACCATGTACTTTTCAGATAATAGTTTAATCACGAGTGATATAAAATCATGTGTTTTTTTTACATATACTTTGATCAGAAGCAATTGTCATATTTTTTTCAGACGACTTCAATCTTCAATCGTGTAGCATAATTTTGTTAGATAAGATTCTATGCCAAGACACTCAGTACATTTTCGACTACAAGAATTTTTGTAATATGGAATTGAAACTAGAACAACCAAGTCTGTCCAATGGACGGGTTTCAAACTTTTCATCACAATTACTGAAATCCTAAAGGTGCTTTTGTCGGAATTTATATTCACTTTTAGTTAATTATACATTTCAGATTATATTATGTTATATTGTATTATACAAATATTATATATCTCAATACATGGGCGTAGCCAAGTGCCCCCTCCCGAAAGAAGAAAAATATTATATGAATTAATATTTTGTATGTAAAAATAAATCTAAAATCCATTTAAAGTAATATTATGAAATTTACGTTAAGATAAATTTTATCTTCCTTTGACTCATAATCTAGCTACGCCCATATGTTAATACAATTTAATTTAGTACATATTCATGGTTAGTAGTTCTAGTATTAAATTGACGCGAAATATGTTAAAGTAGAATGTACTCATCTGTCGAGAAAATTTGAATCGATGTGAAGATAAAAGGGATCCAGTAAAACGTGATTACCTGATGGTGACATCTCGTTGTCTCTGTTCTATCAAACGTAATGGCTTCGCCGGTGGAATCGGTGGCGGCGGTGGTCTTCTTCTTTGCACGTCTTGTAGTTGAAGATTAGGCATCGACGACCTATAATTCACCGGTGGCTGATTCTTGTATTGTTGGATATTATTCGCGGAACTGTGCGCAACGTCCTGCAAGGATTTCCATTGTTCCTGCAATTGCTCCGCCAGTTTCAGTTGCTTTTGTTCACGGTACGCCAGATTGTTGCGTTGTCGTTTCAATTCTTCTTGCTCCAATTGAAGTAATTCCCTTTCCACTCGGAGCACTTCCTGCTCGAAAAGTTATGTCACGTTTAGCGTTACTCCTTTTTCGTAAATAAACACGGCGATCAAATATTTTATAATTTATATACACGTTTCACTAATACTAGTTTTAATAACTAAACAACAAACTTTGTGCACTTATAGTATACGAAAGTGTATATGTATATCACGGTCAAATAGACAAATTGATGAAATCTTATACTCTTCGTCTATTCAAAATCTGAATTCCGAACAGAAATTTATATTTAACTGTTCTTTGATTTAATTTCTGTATACCAAAATTTACTGAAACAGTCACTGTCTATTAATCGATAAAATTTTATATAAAATTGAAGGTTTGGATTTTTATATTTGTAGCTGCTTTGTTAGAAGCAAGCAACGAAAATTGTATGAAAAAAATCGTTTAAAATGATGTTCCCTTACCCCAGAAGCAAATTCGTCTTCTTCGTCGTTCAACCCAGCACCAACCAATGTTGTGTTCTGCGAATAATTATCAACGATACGCCCGTTAACATTTTGCAGTGCGATAAATCTCCTTTACGGCATGCAGATCAAAATGATTGTTAGCGTGCCTAATATTACATGCAAGCTCTTGCAAACTGAAAGTATTGTTTTCATTTTATGCAACGTTTCTTCAAACATATCGGATGAATGTTGTGTGTTCGGCTTATCGTTGGTACTAACATTACCTCGTCTGGATTAGACACATTGTTCTTTCAACGTTTGTAATATGTAGTTAGTACACCTTAAAATTAAACCATGAATTTTGGGCAAATCATTTCAAGCAATTAATAGAATTTTAATATTATTCGATCTAAGGTTCAACAGATTATTTATTAAAGGAAGTTTCAACTGATTTTAATATAATCTTCGAATATCAAAGGAGTGTTATCATTAAGGTCAAAATAGAAATTGGGTTAAATATTCATACGTATTATGCAAGTTTCTTCATATAGTTTCTAGAAGGGTAGAAATATTTCTAACCAACAAAAATATCAGATGAAGAAAGATTTGTTTTTTACTTCTTGCTTACAAAAAATTCCCTTTCGATCTATACAATCATTAAGTGAACAGATAAACACAGAAAAATGTGCAACACTGTACATTCAAGTGCATACATATATCAGAAAACATATAACTTAAATGAACAATGTCACCTGAGATTCAACTCTACAGATATCAAACAGTGCTATTACATGTACAATGAATTTTATCAATTTAATAATTTAAAGAATTCATTGATTAAAATTACCACTAGCACAAATCAAATTCGATCTCCACTTACGTACAGCATTCTCTCGTTATTATGCTACCTATTCAGATTCTTCGTATGACGAACATTCAATCTTCGATGTCTCTGCAGCTTCAGTGCAGTTTGCCAACTAGCGTCAGCACACAAATGTGCAAGAAACCGCACGAGCCTATCCCTACTATTATGTCACTCGTGCTAATGGTCGTAGCAACTACCGGTGAATACTATTGTAATGAAAACTCCATTAACTTATGATGTCTTTGTTTCTCCATTTTTTTTGTTCTTTTTTACATCACATTTGGTGACAGCTTTCACTAATCCCAAACTCGTTTGGCCAGACCAGTGCTCCTTGAGGGTACTGTACCTGACAAACTTTGGGCCCTCTTCACACACCATTGCTAATAAAAACAGCGGCAGTAATAAAATATTATTCGTACGTAGAAAGCAGTTGATACCGTTACTTGTAACTCCTTCGTTTTCTTAACAATAGTGTCACTCTAGGGGAAGTCTGGTATACTCAGAAGAAAAGCTTAAACAACACTAAACTCGCTATGAGTTCATACTGCCATAAAGAGCTAGTAATCTTAGCGTAATTCAGTACTAATAAACTTGGAGATGACGTGTCGACCTGCTAACCCCTGACCTCTTCCACTGATCTATCCAAAGGATTCGATCATTCAATTACACCCTAATACTGTTCAAAGTATAAAGAGAGAACACTGTACGTCCAAAAAGCAACCTGAACATCAAGCAATTAAAAACAGACATCAAACGTACCTCCTGCTCTCGGATCTGACTCTGCATAGCCCTGATCCGTTTCTCCTCTTTACGACGAGCATCAGCGACCCTTCGTTCCTCTTCGATTTCATTCTGGATCCTCAGCTGTTCCGCCTGCGCCCTCAGCTCCTCCTCCTGTCTCTTCTTTTCGGCGCGCTTCGCCTCGGCTTCAGCGCGAGCTGTTTCCTGCTGCCTAGCTGTCTCCTCTTGCTGTTTCCGCAGCGCCTCCTCCTGTTTGCGTAAGTTGTCCTCGTTCTTGCGCAGGGTCTCCTCCTGTCGACGGAGGGCAGCTTCCTGGGCGCGTTCCCGCTCTAGCTGCATCTTCTCCTCTTCGAGTTCGCGCAGCTTGTGCGCCAATTTCTCCCCCAAGTCACTGTTTCGTCATGAATGTCTCGATTACTCGACATAACCGGCTCAGTAGATCTCAGTTTTGCTTTTCTATATATGTACATAGGCTAACATGTGAACCATTTTGGATGGGTACGACCGAGGACCGGATGTGTGTAACGTGGTGAGTAGTAGCGATAGCGATAGAGAAGCGGCAGGAAAGGACCACCAAGTTTTAGGTAAAAGTGTTTTATTTTATTCATTAACCGTTTGTACAATTGATCCCGACATACAGATTCAGTATAACTTTATATATACATACAAGACACGCTTAGAGATAGTAGATGTGTATTGTTCGGATAGTCGAAGCTGTCGATTTAGGAGTTCCACAAGCCTGAACTGTCTAATCTAGTTACGGACTGAACACAGTTTTAAAGGATTCTAATTTAGCATATGATATATTTATAACAGAAGAATGACTAAGCTTTATATCATTTAATATACACAAACTTCTGTGACTCCGAAACAGACACTTCCACTCCCGTAGGATTCCTACTGACAGTTGTCTTATAACAAAAAGGATTCTCGTCTGGGGCACCCAGACGAAATTAAAGAACACTCGAGCGTTACACCGAGAAGGTTCAGAGGGGAACGCCGTGAAAGTGAATTCAAGTAACAAGAATACCTAGAAACCGTATAAATAAAGAAGAAAATACCAGAAAGCCGAAAGAATAAAATTCCAAAGAGGTGTGAGAATTACATTACACCAATCCCCGAATAATTGACGAAAATATGTACAACCGGGTCCAAAAAAAAAGGGGGGAAACGACATCCAACCGAATCGACAGGTAAGAGTACTCCATACTGTCCGTTCATCATTCAAATTGTCCCCGGTGAATTCCTACCTGTTCATGTCGCAATTGTTGCCGTACCGCCACTGCTCCTCTTTCTCGAGGACCTCGATGATCTCCCGTTCTTTCTTCGTGATTTCGTCCTCTTCGGACGAGGTCACGCTAGCCCCAAATGGTTCGCTGCTCTGACGACTGTGCTGCGACATATCCGGGCTGACCGGCTGTTTGGTCCAGTCCTCGGCGTGGCCCAGCTCGACCCCTGAGTCCCGTTCGTGGCTGGAGTCTTGCTCGTAGTTGCTGTCGGTGTCGTACGATCGACGATGGAGCTGCTCGATGCGTCTCTCTTCGGCGAGAATCGCCGCCATATCCGGCGGCTTTGTTAGGGTCAGTTCCCGTTCCAGATCGTCATCATTTACCTGGAGGTTGAGGAGGATATTCTTTGAAATTCGACTGGAGCTTAACTTAGAATTTTTTTAGAAGATGGTGAAATCATTGAGGGTGAGGTTGATGTTTCTTAGAGAAGCTATAGAAGATTGCTGACGTATGAAGTCCTCGAGTGTCAGATAGCAATTGCACTTAAATGAATTACAGTTGAATTACGGGAAGGGGGAATTCTTATGAACTTTCATTGATCTTGACAAAGAGAATTATCACCTATTTTATTGAATGATGAGATATTTGTGATTTACAGGGTGCTTCAGAAAATGGTAACCGATATATGGAAGTAAGTTTTTTTGGCGAAACAGAATTGATAACACAATATATTATGTTAATATATATGACAAAAGTTAAATTATAGCTAGAGATAACAGATCCAACTGGATCGATTGTTAATGTATAAGTGTTGTTTAAAAATTCGAAGCATTCTTCATTCTGTAAAACAGTTACTTTCTTAACGATTGCAATTAATAAACAGTATAATTAAAGCTTTCATCCTTTCATCCATAAAACAAGTATGCACGCAAAAAAATATAAAAAATATAAATTTAATTAAAAACTGAAAAACTTTCAGATGGTAGTGAATGTTCACTTCCTTTGTAGGTACTTGGTTACTGTTATAATCGAATCTACATGAATACATTAGAAAACAAATAAAACATTCTATTACCTTTTAGAAAACAGTATAATACAACTATACTGGAAAGGAAATATTCTTAAATTTTCGATGTATCGGAGTCGCCCAATGTTACGTGTCACAGTTTACGAATTTCATTGTGACATTCCGACGTACATAATTGCCATTGTCCGTTACGTAAATTCATTCACGTGCTCCAATTATTATCATTAAACGATGTTACGCCGACGATACGATCTTTCGCAACGCTAAACGCGGGTGTACAAACAACCGTGGAACACATTAGCTTCCGGAAACAAGTGAAAGCCGTCGAAGTGGTGGACACGCGTGAGAAGAAACGAAAGTACGAGCGAAAAAAGTATCGGGTTTTACAAGCGGAAAACTTCCAATAAAAATAGCTTTAGAATAAATTACGTTTACATTGTATTTAGGACTTTCATCTTGATTCAGCGAAGAATGAGCAACAAGTTCTGTATCCTTTATTCGAAATTTGAAATTCTGTATTTGAATAATTAATTTCACCATCCTTGAAGTTTCTATCATCTAAATATTTCAATAATCGATTGGTTTATCACAAAAATCGTAAAATTATTTTAACTGACAGAGTATGATTGTGTTACTTTCATGTTTGGAACATAAACCAACTAAGTTTTATGAGAGAGTTATTAAAATTCTTCTTTCAAAGAAAAATTGTTATATAAATTATTCTGAATTATTATAATTTTTTTGTTTAACTTCGAGGATGTCATGTTGAGACTTTTGCGATATCCTAATACAAATCGAGTCTGATATTTCATGGGAAAATTTATTACTCACCCCTTCGAGTCCAAGAAAATCGGAACGCCTCGTGCGCAATTCTTTCTTGATTCTACGGGTAGAATTCAGCCTCTTCAAAGGCTCTAACGGTAGACTCTCTTCATCGCTGACATCTACGGGTGGCGGCGGTGGTTTTTCCTTAGGAGGTTCTACGCTGGTTGGTGGTCCAAGAGGGAATGCCAGGCCAGTGACTATCTCCTCGTCACTCGATAGGTTTAGCGGCAAGATCTGTCATGGACGAAAACCAATCGGTTAGAAATCTTCAGAACTAAGGAAATGAAAGTAAGGAATACAATAATAATAAAATTGGAACTGTCGATGTGGGTACACTATAACGTAAAAGTAAGAGATCACTGGAACCTTGGCTTCTTTTTGTAATAGATAAACGAACTGAAACGAAAAATAGTTAAGATCTTGTTCGTTTCGTATTAATCATAACTAGACTTCGGATTTCGTGCATTTATAGTATTTAGGATTTTTTTTTAAACGCAGTATACTAAAGTGTTTTATACAGAGTCGTATGAGATTTTTATCATATTTGCGACCTAACAGAATCCTCAATAGAATAATTATATTTCTTTTATAATGTTAAGTTGTTACACATGAAATGATTGTTTTATCACCGAAACTTGATATTATATGGAATACTATACGAATGTTATTAGAGAAAATGAAATTAAATAGACTTTACACACGTATTTCATTGAAATACAATTGTTACATTCATGTTAGATTCATTACATAGTTATTATAATAAATTTGAAGACAATTCGTAGGACACTTTAGGCTACCGTCATTACGGGAAATGTTGTCATCACTAAAGAGTATTCTTCAGCAGAAACTGATATGCATCGTTGTGAAGTTTATTTATGAATTTAGTATAAATGTTCACCCTTTCATGCACGTGGGGGAAATGGTCGAATTTCACTGACAATAACATTGATTCACTACCTGAATTAACTTTAATATTTAACATAACTGATTTTATTGCTATGTTAGATAATACCTTAAAACGAGAAGAGTACACTGTATAATTCTGCAATAAAGATAGGAGTCATGTTAATAATTTTCATTCATAAAAGTAACGTCAAATATACGTATCAGTAAAGTCGCTCATTTCATGTGCAATGACCTAATATGTATGTTTATGTCTCCACTCAACTGCGGATGTCTTAGGTTTTAATCTGAAGAAACGGGAACAAAATAGAAACTGATCTATTCCATTAAGAGTTCTATTCGAATCTAAATAAAATAAAAATCACATTAAGAAATATTAAATTTCTTACTGTATCGATTTTTAGGTAAGTGCAAATGCATAAAATTTTAAAGTCTGGCTACAATATTACTTACCGTTTTTGTGGAAAAACAAACTAATCATAGAATCTGTGTAGTATTTATATTCATGAAAAGACTAGGTTCTACAGCACGAGTGTATGATTGAAGTTTCGACTGATCGGAATAGGAATTTAAGAAGCATTCGCATTTCCTGTAAAGCTTTTAAATAATCCTTTGTTTGAGTTCTAAATATTTTTTCTCCGGAAGTGTTATTAATATAATTAAATTACTTTTCTGACAGCCTTATTACGTATAGAACAATGCTTTGCACTTTCACTGGCTGAAATTCCCAAAGGAAGTGTAATTAGTAGAAGTCGGATACCTGTCGTCAGCTTGCTTCTACATTTAAAAAAAACTTGGTACCACCAATATAATACATGTTTTATGTCAAATTTCTATGAAATATACACTCGGTTTCAATCTTAAATTCGTACATCACTTTCCAATAGTTCTATTTGCAAAAATGTTAGATTCACAATTATGTAAATTTGAACAGAAGATAAAGCGATTAAAATCCTTATCTCGAAGATTAAAATTCCGAATAATAGAAAACCAAGAGACACTCATGTAAAAAAATTTGTTAAAGTGTTATAACGACTAATTACAGGCTGTCAATTGGAATAACAACTGTCAATGAAACACGCTACGAGGAATTAAGTAGACATCAAAGTAACTGTACAAAAGAAAATCACAATACTGAAAAAAAAGAAAATGTTAACGCCACAATCTTTTATGTACAAGCCAATAGAGACATTGGTGTCTGGGTGCGTTGGAAACCGTATGCTTCCTTCTTTTGTAAACATACTTTCGACCGCGATCATTAAAAAGCACCTGCTTTTTTACATGACTAAATACGAACAACTCTTAGCTTAAATTACATTTCCAAATTGATGAGTTAGATACGGTTTTTAAACACTCGGGACCACACGGACACGGTCTCCGTACTCGGAGTTATACTACAAACGCATAAAAACTGTCACTTATGAGATATCCAGAATATCAAACTGAATCAAGAAACTCCAGCAAACATAAAAAAAGAATTAACGAAAATAAATCAGAAACAACCCGACAATTACCACACGCACACCTGTCAATCACCTTCAAAACAACCCCCAATCCCACACATAAACGAAACCCACACCGAAGCAAATTCAATGTCCCCAGAAAATAGAAGAAGTAACGAAGAAAAAAGGAAGGAAAAAAAAAATAAAAATAAATCGCAAACGAAACGAACAATGATTAATCACCTGTTTCGAGATCGGCGACACAGGGCTCAGCATGGTCATCGTGTCCAGCATACCGATTTCTTGGTTGGCCAGGGTCAAGGTCGTCGGTCTTTCAGGCGCGGGTACGTTCGCAGCGGGACGCTCGATGGTCTCAGGTGCATCGTGCGCGTCGATCGACTCCACGATCGACTTTCGCGGCGGTAACGGCGGTGGCTGGTAAGCCTCGATGATCTTCCCGTTCATCGGCGCTTCCTTTTCCTCGTGCTCTTCGTGTTCGACTGGCGGGCACGGCTGGCAAATCGCCGCCGTCGTCGTCGTCGTCGTCGCCACCGCCGCTGCCTCCTCTTCGTCCGCTTTCTCGATAACGATCGGTTCCTGAAGAGACGGAGGAGCTGCGTTATTGCTTCTGCCTGTACGGAACTGGGCTTGCGGCTAGGTACCGGCCACGAATTTTGCAACGCCACATTCTATGCAAATCGACACCGGCGTGGCTTTGCCCCGATCAAGGGGCCAGGGTTTCTCAAACCGAAACACCGTGGCCTCGATTTTTCAGTGACGTTTTTTTAACCCTCTACTGGGTCGGAGAACTTTGACGTCATGTATCGGTAGACTGTGGATGCTTATGCAAATTTACCATCTTTGGGTACTGTGTGTATAAATAAACAAAATTGCACGGAATTTTGTTTGCTATATTGAGGGCTTTAATATGTTAATATTAACCCTTTAAGGTGGTTTCCGTGTTTGGTACCGTATCTAGCTCCATATGGCCCTTTCTACATTTTATCAATTTTACCAATTTCATTTGTATGGTTAATATTTTAAAGTACTTCAAAATACTTAAATGGAAAAAAATTTACAACAAAAATCAAAACCTAAGTTTGCCTACTTTGATCTTAATTTTTAGTTTTATTTGATCGTTAACATTTTTTCTCGAGCCATCCGTCAAAAAATCTATAACCACATAATTTTTTTATAAAAATATCATTTTTTGTAGTTAAATAAGAAATTATTAATCTTTCACTATCAACTACAGTTCCATAAGGCTTGTGTTAAGAAGAAATTTTTGTAACGTTTCATTTTCCTTAGTTTTATCGTTGACCTTGCGATTTTTTGTAGCAATCGGGAGTTGGAGTTTCTTAAAATGTTCTGTTAAATTGTCGATTAAATTTATAATTATTACAAATTTGCGGGAGCCAGTTTAAACCCTGAATTGTTTTTACCGCAATTTTTATTCCAGATAATTGAAAACTGTTCAAATATGTATTTTTTATTCAAATAGCTAAATATGGTGTCTCTGAGTGCTGGTGGCGTTTTATAGAATCTCAAAGGACTTCAAAAAAGTAGTACATTGTTATAAGTCTTAGCAATATTCTAAACATATTGATCCATAGCAGTATTTTATTGTAATATGAGTGGTACATACTACATACACAGTACCGTCAGGAAATAAAGGGTTAATACATACATATTATTAAAATTTCTTACGATTTTCATTTTGCTATGTTGTGCAAGTTAGGAGACGCTATAAATGCATAAACATCCACGGTCCACGTATTACTTTTATACAGATAAACCATTTTTTGAACACTAAAAATGAATTTGGGCAGTGGAGGGTTAACCCTTTATGGCCAATCTTCGTTCAATCCTGGGTGCAATGCGCTACCAATGAGTAATTCACTACATTGTTAACGAGATAGTAATGTAATTTAAATTCAATTTGTTTCACCGTCTTTGAAAACCGTAAATAATAGCGTAAGATAGATAATTCTAACTTGTTATTGGAGGAAGTTCAGTTGTTGATTGTGTATTTATTTGATGATTCATTAATTTCATTCATTTTTAATTATGTTTACGTAAGTGAATACGTTAACATGCTAAGGGAGTGTAAGTTGTTGATTTTCTTGAAAAGCAGCACTGATTTTGTTACAAATGAATGGATTACTCATTGCTATGTGTAATAAATTCAATAACGATATCTTCTCTTCTATTATTGTCATTTACCTTTTATATACGAATTTATCAACAGCTAATTCAACAAAAATTGTATGTAAGAAAGAAGCTTGTTGCTGTGAAATGAAACTTTGGTAACCATAAAAGGTTGATGAATTTTCTGTGCTATGCTTATTAGTCGTGCACACACTTAGAAAAGCAGTGAAATCGAATTATTTGATTATTAGTCTCTGATTGCATTCGTGTTTACTGACAAATGTATAGAAAGACTGTTTAACATTCTGATTTATGTTAGTTTGTAGATTTTAAAGCGGATACGTATGTACAAAACAAATCAAACTAAATATCTCAATGATATTTCGATAAAATTTCAATTGTTATTCTTAACAGAAAAAAATTAATTTCTATTTAATTTCTGCCTTCATTAAAGAAGTTAAAAAATATAAGCATTAAAATTCACTATCTAGTGATAAGTGTTCACAGAAAAATTTTCCGTGTTATTTGTGAGTCAGACGGTCGTAAGTAGTTACTGCACACGCTCATGCATTGCAAATAATAATAAAAGCACATAAATAAAGTTAAATAATTATTGTATACTCCCATGCACAAATCGTTCTCCCATCATGAACAATATTCAATTGATGTAGGGAACAATGATAGAAATCAACATAACATTAAGTATTATAATTTGTCATAAGCAGATACGAAGGATAACTGAAAGATAACTGTAACAGACCGGGGAGGCTTGAGAAACACTGATTTCGAGCAACAAGTTGCGGCGCAACTACGGTTTCGGATGGAAGATTATTTTGCATTCTACTGGTCTCGTTCTGGTTGTCTATTGTTTTTTCGCTCTATGTTCACCATATTTTCGATAGACATCAATGCGCCGGCGTTCATGCATGACTACTATCGTTAGTTTTCTTTTTTTGCACAGTCCGTACGAAAATGAATACACGAAACGAAACGTTCGCTCGCGAGAACTACGAACCATGTTCCAAACAGATGTAAATACATATACAATTTATGATTTCAGATTATGTGGTGTGTAATGTTGATATTATTAAAGCGCACGAATTCGTTTAACCAATGTAAAAGCTTCATATAAATTGAATTATTCAGCATCTAAAGATATATTGGATTGCCACAACTAGAACTACTGGAAGAAAAATCCATGTTTCAGAAAAAGTTTAAAAAATATTTTTATAGGTAAATTTTCACATGAATTGCAACAAGTAATTAATAATAATTGTACTATGGATTTTATGAATAATGTTTGACACAGATTTTATTTCCTTCTTTTTCCAAATGCAATCCATAAAAATGCGAATTTACAGAAATATTCGCAGTCTGTTTATAATGACAGAAAATATAAACTCCATTTATGTTAATATTAAAGCGTTTTAAAACAACATAATTTAATAAATAAAAGACGGTATTGATGATTAATCGAATTATTATGTTAATTGATTACTGTGAAATTAATTTGTTCGTGACACAGATTAAAACAGGCTCAACGTGTTTAACAAAAAGAAATAAATGATTTTTCTGTATGTACTATTGTTCAGATGCATTGGTACACATGAAAAAAAAATACTCTCAAACTTCTGCCTATCTACATAGATATTATGTAATTAATTCTCCACTTTCCTAAGCATACATACATTAATGGAATATTATTAAATGAAATTCTATTAGAACAAACAAATATATATTTTTTCTTCTAATTTGTTTACTCTTATATTTGTCAGGGTATTAGATTTCAGATAAAATAAAAATTTCATCCAAACTTTTCACCATACTGAATTCTAATAAATCGTATACTCTACGAGTATGTAAAATCCATAGTCTAGTGTTAATTGTGCTCAAAATTTTGTGTAACGCAGCACAAACACTTCGTTTGAGGGGAAAATCATAAACTACCATTAGTCGTGCGAGCACGTTCAATCGTAAATGCTTCCAGTTACAAAATAAGCGTGTGCACCAAACGAATGGAACGCGTGTTCCTCGTGCAGTTCACTATGTTGCAAGTTTTTCGTGCAAATATGATGTCATGTGCTATTGCCGCCGGCTGACGAAGTGCGAATAAACAGAGATAAGATCTTTCGGCAATAAAGATAACGTTTTATCTGAATCCATCGGGCTGGACGGGAACTGAATTCGCAATTTTCACGGGGCGTTCTAGATTTCCTCTGTACAGTTTCGAGATGAAACCAACCATGAAATATCGCCTGTTTCTCGTGTGTGAGACGTAAACAAGATATAAACAATTGTAAACAAGAAATTCCACTCGTAATTAAACGGTCAATGACACAGATTATTTCCCATGAAGTAAAGAAATCAGTTGCTTCGAAGAAGTGGTTCAAATATTTTAAACTAATATATATGTCAATTTTATTCAAATTTTTTAATATAGAAACCCTCGTCAGTCTGAAAACCTGTTTTGAGTGAGTGGAAACAGTCACACAAAATTTATTATTAGGTTGCAGACGGTTATTTAAATTTGTATTGTCATAGAAATTGCAAAAAATAAAATAATCAAATCGACCACAATTTTATGCTTATTATTAAGGGCTTTATTAAGATCCATTGAATCCGTTCGATTTTTCCAATTTATTCTGTTACACATACTTGCGTGAAATATAAATGTATAAATTTGCGCAGTTTATTTATCAAAGCACTCATTCTTCTCATCTTCTAGAATTTCAGGAGCTTCGAGCTAATTTGTTTTATTTAATATCTCACTACAAAGATGAATTTTTGCCTGTAGACTGAAAGTTTTATATGCCCGTCAACGATTAGTAAAACTCCTACATACTAGAACACACGAAAACCGTCCATTGTAATTAGCCTGGCAATTTTACACGTGTCTTCACGAATTACAGCTTCTGTCCAAATTCAGATAAAGATCTGAGGAAAGTGTCTTGTGGCACAGAGCATTGTGACTAAAAAAAAGAAAGTGAACTTTCGAGTTTCGAAAGCAAACGCGGGCCTCTTGAATATCATCATTATAAATTCTGATTTCTAAAAGAATCGGCTGCGAAGTAATGAAAAGTTTTGCACGAAAAACACCGTTTGCCAAATGAAAACAGGAACGATTACCTCGTTTCTTCGTTCTGTCGATTAATCATGATAATAAATCCAACGAGAAGTGTTATGGTAAGCTGAAGAAGCCGACGTTCAATAAAATATTAATTCCACCGACCACCTTTCACGAAATAATCGCAGAGTCAACAAAGGGAACAAAATCCTACAAAATCGACACACATTATCTAGACCAGTTCTCATACATGTCTCTCCGATTATTTGGGAATTGCAAAGAAACTAAAAAAGACATCTGTTCTGCTGGTGTCGATACGAACGTTACGGTTTTATCGCGAAATACTGCATCTGTCTCCAATTTGCAATATTGACAGATAGATAAT